TATCACTCTCTCTCTCTCTCTCTCTCTCTCTCTATCACTCTCTCTCTCTTTCTCTCTCCCGTTTTCTCCACATTACCCCCCCCCGCCCTCTCTCTATCTCTCTCTCTCTCTTTCAAATAATTTGTCTCACCCCCCCCCCCTCCAACCAAACCCGTCCTGATACATTTTTATGCATCTCTTTTTCGCCCACTCATCGGAAATTACCCAGTCCAGTTCACCACCACAAGGTTTATCGTCATTCCTTAGCCCTCGGATCGGACTATGGAGAATAAAAAACCAATGCCTTTATCATCAGAGGAAAGGAGAACCTGTCATTACCCGTTAAAGCATGACGTCCGTTAGAATAGAAGAAGGGAAGCAAAAAGTGTATTACAGGGTCCGGGAAGCCAATCCTAAATCCAGACGTCTGGTCGGGCTCGATCTGGGAGCAGTCCCCGGAGAACAGACGAAAGAAAGAGTCTCTCGTGGGAATACAAGCGACATTTTGTTAATACGACGTTTGAAAGGCGTATACATCATAAATACAACCGAGTTTGTAAGATGAATAAGCTGAGCTTATTCACCGATGTAGCGACTGCTGACGAATGAGAATGTATTAGGTTGTCTCTTCTTGCGTCTAAGACGAAGGGCAATTATTGATAATATTCATGTATCTTGTCAAAATTTCCAGATAAAAGAAAAAAAAAAGATAGTCCAGGTGATGTGTGTATTCTTCGTACGTCTATAACATTAAGAAGGAAATAACGATGTGTTTACGTATTCCGCAAAATAACTTGGGCCCAGAAAGCCTCATAAGTGTGGATCCGAACCAGGGTAATTCGATCAGTAGTCCAGCATGATTCCAACGTGGCTTACGGTGAGCCCCTAAACACTTGGTTCTATTTCTTTCGTTAAAGAAGAGAGCCTTATTGGGTTTCTGAGAGATTTTATTTATTTTAAATTTCCCTGCTCTGTTTTTCTCTCCTCCACTCTCTCTCTCCCTCTCTCCCCCCCTCTCTTTCTCTCTCTCTCTCTCTCTCTCTCTCTCTCTCTCTCTCTCTCTCTCTCTCTCTCTCTCTCTCTCTCTCTTTTTCTGTGTTTTCCTCTATCTGTCGCTCTCTGCTCTGATTCTGTCTGTGGTGTAGCGTTTAGGGGGGTTTACTATTGCACGCAAGACACCTGGGTCCGACGAACTAGTGGGGAGATATTGTATCGAGTATCTCGGTCTTTCTCCAGGACTGGACATATAATAAATAATATGTGGAAGAAGTAATAAAGGTAAAAATCTTTGAACCCTCTGACGTTATACAGAGCTATTCTTTTGGAGCTTTGGTTGTATTGGGATGGAAAGGGGGAAAGGGGGGGGGGGGAGGTGGAGTCCAGGCAATATAAAAACAATGCCACTTCTTTCATGCCAGGGAAAACCCTAAATGGAACCTCTCTGAAATTAAAGTAATATTGTTACTTACATAGGTAGGCCTTGAACATTCACAATGAGTTGACTGGTCAGAAAGGACTTAAATTGTGATCAAGTTTTAGATACAACCTCAACGAAACCGAATACTTTTAGAAAGAAGATGCCTCGAAAGAATGTGTAGTTTCAGTAAATAGAAAGTCATAGTTTTAAAAAGAAACATTTATTATGCCCCCCCCCCCCCTCTCAGTTCCCATAGCTGTGCACACACACACACACACACACACACACACACACACACACACACACACACACACACACATGCACCCACACATATACACATACATATACACACATATACAAACACACGCACAAAACACACACACAAACACACATTGGACTGACAATAAATAGTTATAATTATGGTAAAACAAATAGTAAAAAGTAATCATGAAAGGGTAATTGCAGTTTGGTATTCCTTAGCAATGACAACTGAAAGTTGGCTGCTTATTTGATGCTGCAGTGTACACATGGGTACATAACATGTGTCATTATCATGGTGCAAGCCCACCAAATGGTAGATGCTGAATTGCAGTTTTCAGACTTTTTGTATCTTTCTTTCCTTAACAATACCAAACATTTTTATACTGAATGTTAATGATTCAAACACTTGCATGACTATTAGCTTTCTACACCTCTCTCCACTTCTTATTCCCTTCACATTTCTCTCCCTCCCCCCTTCCTCTCTATCGTTCTCTCTCTCTCTCTATCTTTCTCTCTCTCTCTCTCTCTCTCTCTGTGTGTGTGTGTGTGTGTGTGTGTGTGTGTGTGTGTGTGTGTGTGTGTGTGTGTGTGTGTGTGTGTGTGTCTCAACCTCTGTCTATTTTTTTTCATTTTACCCCTTGTCTCCTTTTTACACTCCCCTTTTCCACCCGTCCCCACGCCGTGCTATCACTGCAAAATGCCCTTCCAATTAATTTCTAC